CATGCTTCAACATGACACCAGCTACTCACCGTATATGATATATGGTTTGATTATTTATTTGCTTTAAATATTGAGAAATCTATTTATCATTTAAGGGATTGATCAAGTGTTGTTACACATTTATCATATTTTTGTTCAATTTTAATGATTACCGAACTATATAATTTAAGAAATTTATATTTCATGTTATATTTTGCTTAAACACTAAATACAATCATAAAAGTCAAACTTTAATATTTTGAAGTTTCCATTATTCATACGTTATAAACAATAGAAATAGTATAAAAAGTAAATTCGTATAAAAAAATACAATTGCGTTTTGCATACTTTCCTAATAATTTACTATGAATTTGTTAATTAGTTTAAAACATTTATTTATGAACAATAGAAGAATACACTAGTTACAAATGTTGTTCATTAATACAAAGACTAATGTGAAACAAATGTGGATGTCTCAATTTTTTTAACACATTCCTACAAGCTAAAGCAATGACTACAAGAGTTCACAATTTTTTTCCTTCATTCTTACAGATTTTAGCAACAAAATATTCGTCTTTGGCAAAAATAAACCCTATTGCATCACAAACACTTTGTTACAAGAAATAAAGTTTGTCTTCATAAATTTCAAACAAAAAAATACACTACAACAAAACTGTGATTTCGTGATGAGATTTTTCGTGACATACAAAAAGTTGTCGCAATAAGTGACATTTTTAAAGTTTGTCGCAGTGATTGTGATAAAAAAAAATAAGTACCAAAAAATATAAGTCAACATAAAAAGTTGTCGTAAAATGTGAGAAGTTGCAACAAATAATACAAAATGTCGCCAAAAATATGAGGGAAGCAAGGTGCCAAAATATTTTTGGTTGTAAACTTATGGCGACAAACCTTTTTTCTTGCAACAAAATGCACTACTAGAAAGGGATGCTTTAGAGATAGATTTTTACCAACGAACTAAATCTGAAGCTATTAGTAACGAATTATCAACGATTTTCCAATAACATATTTTAAAGAATTTATAATTATAAAGTAAATGTCTTAGCAACGGAATTACTAACGACATATAGGCATTATTGAGATTTCGTTGTTGATCCGTTGATAAATTTTTTAACAAAATAAAAATATAAAATTTTACCAATGAAAATTGTGACGTGCTAACCATTGATAGTAAAATAAATAAATAAATAAAAATTAATTGAAGTTTACCTATGAATCTATCAGTTGAGAATCTGTTGGCAATATTATTCAAATTAATTATATTTAGATCCAAAATATTACCTACAGTTTGTTATGTTACTAAATTTATGGGAATTAAAAATAAATCAAATATAAATTTTAAAAAGAAAAAAGAAAAAAAATGTGAAAAATACATGTCTCTCCTCTCCCTTAATTCATCGACTCACTCTCATTTTTCTTTTACTCCCTGCCCTAACAATTTCAATTTGTAAACTCTCTCAATTGAACAAAAGAGATGTTTCGGTTTACTAAAAACTTTCGAACCCTTCTATCATGTCAGTTTTCCTTCAAGAGCATCTCAATCATAAGCAAATTACTGACGAAGTCTGTTGCCCGAAGCACATGGTTTAGTTTTGCGCTGTTACTAGAGAGAAGCCTATTACATTTGCTTATTGAGATTGAATTTTTCTTTGGTGCAATGGCATGCATGCTTCCTAGGTGTTGCATAAAATAGTTTGGATTAGCAGCCCATAATCAACATTCATATATATATATATATATATATTTGCGTAATGTTTTTCTATTTTATTTTATAATGGCTATCTACATGTTTCCTTTCATATGTAGATTCAAGTATTGATGATGCATCTACCAAGAGTTGATAAGAATTTTTATTGACATTTAAGGTTAGAGTAACCAGTTAATGAGATATATTTGATTGCTCATTGCCAGAGTTGTTGATCTTGTGCTAACATTCTATATGATTATAAAGAGTTACACTAGACATTCATTTAATTTAGAAATTTTTGCACTACTGCAGAGCTTTCAGAATAAGTAATAGAAAGGGGGGCCTATCAAATATTGTAGAAGACAAAATAAATGTTCATTGTCAAAAAACAGTTTGCATAATAATTTTTTATGTTATAAAATAAAATATGCGATGTACATAAATAATTATGAAATAAATTAGGCAACAACTATACTTGTTGCACAAATGATGGCGCGATAGACTCTTTGTGTATGAAAAATACATGTTTCTCTCCTCTCCCTTAATTCATCGACTCACTCTCATTTTTCTTTTACTCCCTGCCCTAACAATTTCAAATTGTAAACTCTCTCAATTGAACAAAAGAGATGTTTCGGTTTACTAAAAACTTTCGAACCCTTCTATCATGTCAGTTTTCCTTCAAGAGCATCTCAATCATAAGCAAATTACTGACGAAGTCTGTTGCCCGAAGCACATGGTTTAGTTTTGCGCTGTTACTAGAGAGAAGCCTATTACATTTGCTTATTGAGATTGAATTTTTCTTTGGTGCAATGGCATGCATGCTTCCTAGGTGTTGCATAAAATAGTTTGGATTAGCAGCCCATAATCAACATTCATATATATATATATATATATATTTGCGTAATGTTTTTCTATTTTATTTTATAATGGCTATCTACATGTTTCCTTTCATATGTAGATTCAAGTATTGATGATGCATCTACCAAGAGTTGATAAGAATTTTTATTGACATTTAAGGCTAGAGTAACCAGTTAATGAGATATATTTGATTGCTTATTGCCAGAGTTGTTGATCTTGTGTTAACATTCTATATGATTATAAAGAGTTACACTAGACATTCATTTAATTTAGAAATTTTTGCACTACTGCAGAGCTTTCAGAATAAGTACTAGAAAGGGGGGCCTATCAAATATTGTAGAAGACAAAATAAATGTTCATTGTCAAAAAACAGTTTGCATAATAATTTTGTATGTTATAAAATAAAATATGCGATGTACATAAATAATTATGAAATAAATTAGGCAACAACTATACTTGTTGCACAAATGATGGCGCGATAGACTCTTTGTGTTGCAAAATATATTTAAAAACACTCACCACTTGTTATATAATAAATGGCACTACAAATATTAAATATCTTAAAATACATTATGTGACATATCAAACACATTGTAAAACATATTTCACGGCAAATAAATAATGTTGCGATTTTGTTAATACAATGAATGGTCGAAAGTCGTCGCAAAATACATTTGGTGACTCAACATTCGCAACAAACATATTTCTCATAAAAACTTTATTGGAATATTCGTAGTGATAAACCGACTTGTCGCCCTCTAAATTTTTCGCGGCATAGATATGTTGCGACAACATTATGGCTACATATATTATGTTGTCATTTCGTATTTTCTGCGTCATACAAATAGTGTTGCAATTTTGTTAATGGAATTAATGGTCGAAAGTCGTCGTAGAACACATTCCGTGACTCATATAGAGCGACAATACCCGCAACAAATATATTGTTGTCACTAAATTACTTTTGCAACAAAATCTCAATTTTTGCAACAACATTTTTTTGTCGCAAAATCAGTTGTCTTTTGTAGTGATATTTTGACACCATGCTTCCCTTCATATTTTTGGCGACAATCTTTACTATTTTATCCTTGACATTTCACAATTTTTTTATTTTTTCACCATAATTTTTGCGACGAACTTTAAAAACTTCTATAGCTAATTCAATTATTGCTACAACTTTTTGTATGTCATAAAATATTTTGTTGCAAAATCACAATTTTTTTTGTATTGCAAGTACTTTTCACCTTTACGGAGATATAGGTAAATATATTCGATATCCCGTAAGTACAAAGTTTTTGACAAGTTTTAAGAGTATCCAACATACGTTGAGAAACGTATAGGGAAACGTACCAAGATACTTCAATTGGGTCAAGATGGTTAATACTTTCATTTAAATTTAGGAACTATGTATCAGAACAAGGAATCGTAGTCCAACTAAATGCGCTAGGAATTTATCAGCACTTCCAATCTTGTTTTAAGTATATGCCCTCGACACAGCTGCATATGTCGTGAATTTAGTTCCATCCAAGTCTATTTATAAAACTCTTCTCGAGGCGTAGAATGGACATCGACCCAGCATTAGTCATCTCTGCATTTGGGTTTTTCCGAAATATGTGCTGAATGGAAATAGTGAGAAGCTGGAAATGAGATCGAAATAGGGGATATTACTTCGTCTTCAAGATACAAAAATATTCAGTAGTACAAATGCAATCTTCTTGGCCGAAAAATATATGAGTTCTAAAAATAAGGTAATACTGGAAGAGATGAGCTGAGTACCCTATGCAGGTTTATGGCCAATCTGACCCCGGAACACTGGATGACATTAAAAGTGCTACTTAGATTTTGAAAGACTTTCACACTTTGGCTTAGTGCTTGTTCGCTTCGGATTAAAATTTGATTTTAATCTAAATCTAAGTCAAAGTCAAACAATCAATATTAACCACATCTCTCATGAATCTCACAACTTTTCAACGATACATTTCAAAAACTTCCATCACAATCTACTAAAATTCTTTAGTCCTCACCAAACATCATCTTATATTTTAATTCATGTAGTGAAGATGTAGTAATAAACGGATATGTAGGTGTAGATTTTGCAAGGGATATGAATAATATAAAATGCACTACTTGTTATATGTTTACTTTATCAAATGATCATTTTCTTCGGAAAAATGTCATGATGAAAATGAGTTGAAAAAATGAATTTTAAAAAAATAGGGGCCAAATGAAAGCCAAATATCCTTAAACTTTCTTAACGTAGTCAATCTTTAATATTTACTATTAATCATTTTAAGATACACGATAAATTTTTCATTCATATTTTCTTTTGTGAATAAAAAATTTCAAGTCTTTACTAGGCCCTTAAACCGATCATATCGACTCACTCATTTTGACACCTCAGATACCATATAACCTAGTCCGATACGAAACATGTTCAATCATTCTACCACAACTAGCGGAATGCCTCTGGACAATAGATCTGTTATTGAGACAGTAATAATTTTCCATTGTACAAAGGATTAAAACAGTGAAACTAAACGGGGCAGTGACTCTAAACTATGGACGAAAAAAAGATGGTACTCAAGTGTCAATAACACTCTGCAAAAAAAGGGAAAAGAAAAAAAGAAAAAAAAGGAGAATATAAACATATAACGAGAAAGGCAACCTTCATCTCTGCCCATTCTACAATCTGGAGGTTTCAACGACAAAAGCCAGAATATTGAAAACTCTAAAACTAGAAGTAACAAAATAAATTCTTCGTCTGTACCATGGTAAGATCGGTCAATCTCTCCATTGAGAAGTCCTGTTTTGACTTGCCATACTTGTAGAGCATTGAAAGCTACAAACCAAGTTGCTACTCGCACTTAATCGAGCGGTATATGTGACGGACGAAAAAGAGCGCCGCTCGGAAGCCAACTGTGCCGAGCATGAGAAAGAAACCATAGCAAATGCAAGCCATGTATCCGAAGAAGAATGAGGTTTGCATGAAGCCCGACATATCTGATCGTGCATAATAGTAATACAAACAGTAGGCATAGATGAACAGCCCAGTTGATCCACCGCAAAGGAACGACCTGAATTCAGTAGTCAATATTAGAAAATTACAAGTGAAAAAACTAAGCAGAAAGCATTAAAAACTTTTCTTATAGGGATAAGATGTAATACCTCCACCACCATTCATGGTCTTCAGCGGCAAGCTGGAAGTACGTCAATGCCACGGTAATAAAAGCAGTAACGATCAAGAGGATGATGAAGACTATAAATAAGATGCTGTAAATGGTATAGATCCTATGGCCCCATACGCTAGCAAATATGTAGTAAAGTTCGATGTAAATGGCGCTGAAAGGCAAGAATCCAGCCATTGCCATCTGAGGCAAAGTTCCACGGTACCAAGGTAAGGTTGGGATCTCTCGGGGGTATTTTGTGGTGCGGCATGGAGCTTGAAACTCTGCCTTGCTATTCTTTCCTGCAATCCCGCCCATGATTAACAAAGGTGATGTCACGAGGGCCCAAATAAGAAAGATAACCACAATGGTCCCGAATGGCAGTGCTGCAGTGGCAGTGTAAGCAATGGCAACAGTATTAAGGAAGCAGAATGTAAGAAATAGTGGTCCGCAAAATAGACTTCCAGTCAATAATAAATTCCGAACCTGCACGATGACAAAGTGAATGTCAGACAAGTGTAATTTAAATTCCTACTTATATTACATGTCTTTGGTTTCCAACAAGAAAGATCTAGATTTATATTCCCTTTTTTACTAATTAATACAACACAAAGGAGGAAATTGCCAATTGAAGGAAGC